CAAGGTCCTGGCAGATCGCTAGGTCCAGTCCTCACAGATGAAGAAGAAAAAAAAAAAACGCATAGGAATCGAAATTTTTATTTGACAACAAGCATCCGATTCCTGACCTTAAGTATCCAGAATCGGAAGTATAAAGTGTAACAATATATATATATATATATATATATATATATACACATTGATTATTCTGTCACATTTTTTATTTTATTGTTTATTGTAAATTTTATTGTTTTATTTGTTAATTACAATATGAAATGAAATATTGGGTATATAATTACAATCAATATAGTTATATTTCTAATAATGATATGTGATCCTGGACCACAAAACCAGTCATAAGTAGCACGGGTATATTTGTCGCAATAGTCAACAATACATTGTATGGGTCAAAATGAGCGATTTTCTTTTATGCCAAAAATCATTAGGATATTAAGTAAAGATCATATTCCATGAAGATATTTTGTTAAAAATTATCCGAAATCAATATTTGAGCAAATACATAACCAGCCAGTGTTCTAAACTATCGCCTTACTTTAGCCCGATTCACAACGGTCAGCTTATAATAATGTTTTCTAATTTGAGTGGTACAGGTAGGTTTTCGAGGGAAATTCGAGAATGTCGCTACGTCATTACGTCACTTCTGTAAACATAAAGAAGTTGTCCCGGCTACTAGGCTATCACATGTGAGGATCCTGCAGGTGGCTGATCGTTTATAGCCTTTTCTCACAGCAGCATTTAAATGTATCATTTTAATGGAGGATTGTAATCCAGAAAGGATTATGTGGTTATGAAACACATGTGAATGAAATTAAATTATATTCCAGTTTTAAATGCATAGTCACGCAATGCTGATGTTGTTAACATTAACAATTTGAGAATAAAGTATAACAATGATAATAATTTGCACGGTTTGATGTGATATGAGTTATCTGATCTTTAGATTACATCACCATTGGTAGCACGATTTATGGTAATGCTTTTTTTCTCAGTTGGTCAGAACAAACGTGGGGCCAAATATTGTCCTATCCTAACAAACCATACATCAATGGAAAGCTTATTTATTCAGCTTTATGATGATGTATAAATCTCAATTTAAAAAAATAGACCCTTATGACTGGTTTTGTGGTCCAGGGTCACATATATGTTTGTATGTATGTGTGTGTGTGTGTGTGTGTGTGTCTATGTGTGTGTATGTGCACATGCGCACACACACACACGTAAAGTATAAATTACATACACATCAGGAATATTATAATTATTATTATTATAATTATTTAATACAATATACATACAATATATAATTGTATAAATCGAATTATCTATAATTACCCATATATATATATATATATATATATTAGGGATGTCAATTTTCGATCATTTCCATGATCGATCGTCGTTTAAATTAACGGTCAATAGGGATGTCAACGATTAATCGATGATCGGTTAATTGTCGATAAGAGATGCAATCGATTAAAGCTATCAATGGTCGATTAAGCAGTTTAATTTTGGGCTGCGTGCGGCTCATGCGCAAAACGAGCGGCTGTGAGTGACGGTGACGGTATATAAATGCTTCATCATTCACTCATAATTACAAATTAAGCTTTTAATATGATTTAAACTTTAAAAGTACATTAAAATAGAAACAACACAAAGTTCTTCAACATGGAATGCAATAGAAATGTAGTAACAGTCATTTCCCCAGATAATTCTTTCATATTTGAAACAATTAGGTGAAGGTTGCAGGGCTGCGGGACACTGCGGGGGAAGGATTCATTCCTACAATTTGTTAATTCGTTCCTACGATTTATTAATTTGTGGCGACTGTCCATGTTTCATTAATTTTGTTCCTTAAATAACCCATGATTTAACTAAAATGAGGGAACAAATTAATACATCGAACGAATTCTTCTTAATTCATGGCCATGAAATTTTTCATTTCCCTTCCGCATGTAAACAGTAAGAGACGCGAAAACTGTGATAAAAAGCGAATGACAATAAAATAAACCTGCGATATTAGAGGGTTAGACGGTGCGGATGAAGGAAAAGAAACGATGCCTAAATATGACTGAATTTGTGGAAATTCGTGACCAAGAACAAAGCCGCATCGCGCGTGAATGTAGGCTATATGGGCTCGAACGGCATCCAAAAGCATGGTTGCGATGTAACATTTTCCAGCTAACCAATTATTCCTGTAATAAACAAAGCTTTTATACCACACTTGTCATAATCAGAGCTTATAATTTGTAAATAAATAATTGCTGGATTCACAACAGCAATTAAAAGGCGCTTAGACCGACACGGATAATACGTTTTCCCGGAGCATTCAATGATGTCACTAAACAGTGATGCCACAACTATAAGAGCATCGTTCACTAGTTTCTGCATGGACCTAACTAGCCTAGGGCACAGGTTTTCAAGCCCTGGGACAAAATGGGATGCTTTAAGGAAAATGTGTAGCCTATGTAAGTAATAGGCCTAAAATAAAAATAACAATTTGTTTTCATTAAAAAAATATGCGAAATATATCTGTTCACGAAAAGGAAAGGATGACAACGTGCTTATTTTGCAAAAGCACAAATCTTGTTTTTATTGTGAGTGTGCAAAAATAAAAGTAAACACTTTTGCGGATTATATCTTACTCCAAAAATTTAGTTTTTTATGTTTCAACTGTTCGATCGCGCCGGCGCCTCGCGCGCACACACCCCACATATTCTAGCAATTCAAACTTACATCGCAGTCTGTTCATTATCAAAATAAAATACAGTCAACCAAACATATAAAAGGTTACACTGGTCAGTTTAAATAGACCGTAGTATACCGGTCCACTCTGCTTGTTATGCCAAGGACGTTTTTGCTCATGTGAAGAGGATGATCTTTTCCGTCTATATGCGAATGCGTGTAAAGTACAAGCCTAGTTTACATTATAAATAATAGTTTAACATTCAAATACATTGCCAATATGGAAACATTTGGATTTATGCCGAATAAGACATGAGTAATAACTCACGATCTAATGCACTGTAAATGCCGGATTTTTAAAAACAAATAGGCCTACCGGAACGCAAAAATTTAAAAATCTGACATTTTCCGGAACAGGATCCAGCAAGATCAAATTAAGTACTGGTCATAATAAATCCTGCTACTAGCATTTTATTCAGACTAAAACCCCTTCAATTCGGGTGAGAAAGCGGGGTTTTTTTTTAGTGGCTTTTGCACATGCTGTCATGCTGGTGACTGCGTGCTGCTGCAATAGATGCATTTTGCTGCATTAACGTTAACGATTAATCGGTTAATTGACCGTTAATTTAAACGACGATCGATCATGGAAATGATCGAAAATTGACATCCCTAATATATATATATATATATATATATATATATGTGTGTGTGTGTGTGTGTGTGTGTACACAGAGTTATTTTAAATTTTTAATTTATTACATTTATTAATTTATTTAACAATCTCATTAGCACCCAAGCGTTAACAAGCATGTGTAACACACCATGTTGGGGTTGACCAGCGTTACGTTCAGCTGTTATCTGTTACGACCTAATGCCAGTCACAGAAAACCTCATTTATCCCCGTTAAATATGAATTACAACAAGGTTAAATACAGGGCAACAACTAAAAGTCATTGACTACTGATGATCAGGCCGAGCTGGCCGACATGTGAGAATTTTCATCAGCCTAACAGCAAAAAATATGAAATTTTAAAAAGCTTAGATCAAAGGCTGTTTCTGAATATTAACATACCATTAACATTCAATGCAATTACCATAGCATGATTAGAGAAAACGTCTTAATTAGCTTCAAATCTGCCAGTCCCATGACATTTAGCAAAGGATAAATGTTGTCTGGCAGTGATGTGTGTTGTGTAGCATGTAGGGTAATGTAATCCTCTACCTTTGCAGAGGGGCTCCGTGTCGTTCCAGTAGGGGTCTCGTGTGTTGATGCACTCGATGACGGGCGGCCCCTGCTCCAGCGAGTGCCCGGGGTCACAGGTGAACTGCACCACCGTCCCCACGCCGTAAATCGGGTCAGTCGTGCTAAAGTTTCCATTTTGGATGTACGGCTCGTAGCAGTGGCCCTTCTCAAATGCTAAATGTGAACAAGTAGAACAAGCTCTGTTAGACATGTAGATTTATTTAACTGGCAGATGCTTTTATCCGAAACGACTTACAGTTGAGGAATACAAGTGATTCATCATAAGATGGCAATAAACACAAGAAGTGCCAGTTATACAAGTTTTAAGTGATCGTTCAAAATAGTAAAAGCTAGGACAGGAAGGGATTAAGGGATAATGAGAGCATAGAGAATTGATCTATTTATTTTTTTAGGAGGATGCAGTTAGCTAAAGTAACGAATGAAATCCAGAGAAACATGTTAGCAGGATTAGCTATACTTAAAAATGTACAAATGTTATTGCATGAGATATAATATATAAAAGATACAATATCAAACAAATTGTATTTGTTTAAAGAAAGATAGCACACTTTTAAAGCAAAACGTAACATTTATTGTAGGTTTTAAATGATTTCCAGTTGTCAAATGTTAGTCGAACATGTTCCTGAGAGCAGTTTGTTCATAGTAACTGGAAAAACTGTATATATTTGATCTAATGCACTGAAATGTACAGATTTTTAAGTGTTACTTAACCCTCTGATGTCTGATGTCTACTACAGTTTGCAGGTTTTTCTCCAGCTTTTTTAAACATTCAGGTTGTGATGTTACATGTTTACATATCACTATCTTCTTGATTGTATTTATTTATTTATTTATGACAACAAAAAATCAAAATAGCTGATGAAAGTGGTGATGCATAAAGTACTGAAATATTTACTACTATTTACTTTTTCAGTACAGAGATGTGTCTCTCAAAATACAGGAGACAAATTGCCTAATTTTATATATGTCAAATTATGCATGTTTAAAAAATTAAGTAAACTTTAATTGTTGTATAAACATTACGTTGATTTGTTTTGTACAATAATTAAGTTATTTTTCCTAAAACATTAAACCTATTATTATTATTTTTTTTGTATTTGTATTTATGTGTTTAAAACATTAAGCAATTTAAATACAGTTTTCCTTTCCTTTACATCCTGATTTAATATTTTATGTATCAGAGGTTTTAATGTCCAAATACAGGCAGATATACATTCAGTTTGATGTGTTTGCCCAACATATCTGGTGTGGCCTACCTTCATAGCGTATATTGAATCCAGTGTTGTGACTGTTAGGTTGGTCTGTTATAAACTGGACCCGAACAGCCGGACCTTCGCTGATCACTCCTTCAAAGGGGATGGGACCGCCACGCCCGGAATCAAACAGGACCACCGAACCTGCATCAAGGCCGCTCCATAAGACCAGCCTGTATCATGGGAGAAGGCCTGAGTCTCTTATATACATATAAAAAGCATGCATTGATTTAGATGACACATGCATTTACCTGTCTGTCGGGCCCAACACCATTCTCTCCAAATGCAGGTGCAGCCTTTGGCCGTTAGGAGCCTCCAGGGACCAAGAGCAGCTGCGGTCCAGGGTGCTGTTAGGGCCCGAATGGGGTGAGGGTGACAGCACCCGGCCAACCGTGGCGTTTTTTACAACCCCTCCACACAAAGCTTGAAGAGAACATAATGAAAAATGTGTCACTAACAGTAAGGTTCATGATTCACTTTTTAAAATGAATAATAATGAAAGAAAATAAAATATTATGAAATATCTTAAAATAATATAAAGTCAAATTAAGTGGAAATTATTGACGTAATTATTATTTTAAATTTAATATATATACATGATAATAGAAATGTATTATTTAATAATAATTATTTTTTATTATTATATTTTAAGTATACATATGTACTGTATATATAGTAAGTCTCTATTTATTACCCCTCCACACTAAGTTTAAAAGAACATAATGGAAAATGTGTTATTATTATGTTAATAATTATATAATGAATTATTATTATTTAAATTATTACATTTTATTATATTTTAAATATATGTATATATATGTCTCTATTTATTATTTTTATTTTTATTTATGAATAGATAAATAAATAATTTATTATAATGAATTGTATATACACTACCAGTCAAAAGTTTGGGATTGGTCAGATTTTTTAATGTTTTTGAATGTCCCTTCTGCTCACCAATGCTGCATTTATTTGATCACAAATACAGTAAAAAATGGTAAAATATTATTTCAATTTAAAATAACTGTTTTCTATGTGAACATATTGTAAAATGTAATTTATTCCTGTGATGCAACGCTGAATTATTAGCATCATATGTTACAAAAGATTTATATTTCAGATAAATGCTGTTCTTCTGAACTTTCTATTTATCAAAGAAACCTGAAAAAAATCTACTCAGTTGTTTTCAACATAATAAAAACAATAATAATAAGAATGTTTTCTGAGCAGCAAATCAGAATATTAGAATGATTTATTGCTCAATAAACATTTCTAATTATTATCAGTGTTGAAAACAGTTGTGCTGCTTCATATTTTTGTGAAAACCAAGATACATTTGATTTTTCAGGATTCTTTGATGAATAGAAAGTCCAGAAGAAAAACATTTATTTGAAATAGAAATCTTTTGTAACATTCTAAATATCTTT